GGTTTGGACACTCAGATAAGCCTCGTCTCTTCACTCTGAACAGGCTTACAGGGGGTTGCCGTGATGGCAGACCAGGAATGGACAAGATGAGGAGGAGAGGGGAGGCGGAGCCGCAGCTGTGTGTTCACCTCTTCTTGGGGGCTTGGGTGGTGCGGGGTGGGGTGACAGGCCGACCAGAATTGACGCCACCGTACTGGTACTTGGCCTTTTTCTCTGAGGGCTTCAGGATCTTGAAGGCAGAGAAACACAGGTGTGACACGTGAGCAACAGTTTCTGTGCAGAAAAACAATCTTTTTTTTTTCTTTTCTTTTTTTGTTGAGCATTTAGATCACCTGGAAGGAGCACATGAGGGATTCGTCCACACTCATCATGCCGCCTGCATTATCAAACTCCCCGCAGTAGTTTGGAGCAGAGAACAGTGTGACCAGTTGGCGTTTGGCAAAGAACTCGTATCCATCCTCCACAACCTGTTTTAAGACACGACATTATTCCAACGCCTACTGTGATCGATACTAAAACAAACATTTAACTTGTTGCAGAAACCAACACTTTATGGGTGAGCATACAAACCAATAAAACTTAAAATACATAAACAAAATCGTTTACCAAACTGAGAAATTATACAGGAAAAAAAGGTACATAGAAGACAAAAAAAGAAAGAAAAATCTGTAGTTTGACTATTTTCTTACAAATGCCAGAAAATAAACTGAAGATAAATTCTTGTTAAAATCTTTTACATCCAGGTTCTTAATTGAATTCCTATTTTTTTTAATTAATCTTTTTTTTCTTTTGCAGGGAACAACAAAACATTATCACCCATAGGCAACAGAGGCAGCCTACACAAGGCTTGTAGCTAAAAGCTAATTTACAGCCCTCGTCCCTGGTTAGGCTTTTTGATCCGAACAAAATAAAAGTTAATGACAAATAAATGAGTAGAGCTCAGTTACAATTTACACAAATGAAATACATTAAAATACATGTCCAGATTAATTAATTAATTAACATAAATTTCAGTGTTAATTAGGGATGCATTGATACAAAAACTTCAGCCACCAACTTTACCTTGATCCAGAAGCCGACGCTATATTGCCTTATACTGTATGTATTAGCTCGGCGCTAGTGCAACAAACAAACAAGCTAAACTGAGGTCCTCCATCCACATTTCCATTGCAGCTGAGTCATTTTTGTGTTCCCCTCTCTGTCATGTGGATGGAGGACCTCAGTGACGAGAGGAGAATGTGAAGCGCTGAGCTAATACATATAAGKCAATATAGYGTTGGSGMTARYGCDAARGCTAACAGGCTAAGCTGAGGTTCTTCTTCCATGAAGCAGCTCTGTTGTCCTCCATCCATATTTTCAGTTACAGGCTGAGTCATTTCTACCTTCTCCTCTCTGTCAACGCTCTCTGGTTTCATTTAAAAGAGTCGATCATCAGATATTGTCCAAGATCAACCTTCAGTGTGCCCCCAGGGCAGCTGTGGCTACAATGTAGCTTACCATCATCAGTGAGTGAATGTCTAAGTGTAAAGCGCTTTGGGGTCCGGGGGGGCTTGATAAAGCACTCTATAAGTTCAGTCCATGTACCATTTCAGGGTGGATATAGCTCGCTCACACCAAGGACCCATCCACGTCATCATTTACCCAAAATGCTTAGAGTGTAAATAAAATTGCTTTGTCCGTGTAATATATTTTTAAACTTTTAGTTTAAAAATGTAAAAAAACTAAACAGCCTGCAGTATTTTTACAGTCTTTATTTTACAGTTAAACTATATGTTTATCAAATAAAGTGTAATGTTACAACTAATCATGGATCCCTTTAAGGATACGAAGGTGATTTGTGTCCAAATAGCTCATTAATTGTTTGGCAACTAGCTTTTCAATAACTTTAAAGATACCTGGTAAAACTGAAACGGGTTGATAATTGCATGCATCATCATGTGCTCCAGATTTAAAAATTAGGGTCACAACAGCTGTTTTAAAGTTCTGTGGAAATTTGCMATCTTTAAGAGATAGATTTGCGAAATATGATATTGGTCTTAATAATGTTGCTTTAATCATTTTAATTAGGGAAGTATCCAAGCCAAATCTATTGTAGCTTTTGAATTGTTTAACTGTTTGATAACTTTATTGATCTTATCTTGAGCCACCTGTGTGATGTAAAGATGTGGGAGAATCTGTCACCTCTTCATGACACAGGACAGGGTTTAAAGTTTGCTGCAGGCTCATCCACTGATTTATTTTAAAGAGAATTGAATTAATTTGCAATTTCTGTATCATCATTACTAACTTCCATTTATATTTAGTTTAGCTATAGACTTACTTTGATTAGATTTCCTGTTGGTCAGCTTATTCGTGTGTTTCCAAATAAGAGAGCTGTCGCCCCGTAATTTAGCAAGCTGCATAAAATAAAAAGACCTGATGGGTAGAAGATGACAGATTACCTGGTGGGCTCTGCAGATGAGGTCCAGGTCGTGCCGGTTTAGGAACTTGCTGACCACATCGGCCCCAAATGTGAAGGAGACCCCACGGTCGTTCTCCCCCCAGCCCTGCACATCCTTATCAGGATCTGACCACAACAAGTCGCACAGCAGGCCTGACGCATTCAAACGAGAAGGAAGAGTGGAAAAAGGAGAAACACGAGGCCTCATTAACGGGTGGTTTTAGAGTGAAGACAGGTTGAAGAGGTTCAGGATTGATTCTGACTCAGACTGTACCTGTATCTGGGACGTCTGTTGGCCTCATGATCCTGCGGATCTGCTCCATGGACTGCAAATCAGGAGAAAGCCCTTAAACAGAAAATAAGGATGTAAATACGTCTTTAAACCACCGTAAGAATATTTGATCATTTTGTTTCAGAACTGCCCCTCACCTCCGTGGCAGCAGAAGATCTTCTCATCAATAATAGCAGCAATGGGGAGGCAGTTGAAGCAGTCGGTGAAAGTCTTCCATAGTTTAATGTTGAACCTTCGCTTGCCTGTAAACACATGAACGCACGTTTTCTAAATCAAACGCTGTGTCGGCACTTCACAGCCGTGTGTGTGTTAAGAGGTTACCTACACTCATCATAAAAGCCATATATGCGGTTGATTGAGGCACATTCATGGTTGCCTCTGAGCAGGAAGAAGTTCTCTGGGTATTTGATCTTGTAGGCCAGCAAAAGGCAGATGGTTTCTAGAGACTGCTTCCCTCTGTCCACGTAATCGCCCAAGAAAAGGTAGTTTGCTTCTGGAGGGAAGCCCCCGTACTCAAACAGCCTGAGAAGATCTGTGTACTGCCCGTGGATGTCACCTGAAATAGAAGATGAGAAGACGTTAATGGAGCAGATAAATGGAATAAAAATCCGTTCTAGAGGTCTGGTGGTGCATTACTGAGCATGTTGAATGGTACAGGTAAAAAAAAATGCCAACTGCCACCTCAACCATTGGGAAGAATACAAACCAACACAATCCAGGTTACATACAAGAATGAAACACACATCCAACATGTCTCCTAGGATTTAGGGTCAACCTCTTCTATCTTTGCCATCAGAAAAAGCAGAGAGGAGCTGAAGTCACTCCCAGCCAATCACCTGTTCTCTGCAGGGGAAGAGTYGTTTCATCACCCCGCCAAGACCTGCTTCCTTTTATATCTTCTTGCTCCAACTTAAGAGCTGCTCTAATTTGAGCTAAATGCTCCAGACGACTAAAGTGAGCCAAACCCAGTCAGAGGACAATAAGAACCGTCTTTCTCGAGACCAAAAAGGGAAAGCACATTTCTATGCAGTGTAATACAAGATATTGCCGAATATAAATTAAGATAAATGCTAGTCTTTGTTATTATGAAGCTGCCTGCGCCTGAGTTTAAATTGAGCAACAAAAACATGTGTTTATTGTTAAGCTCATAAGACTGGTAGGCGACATTTCATTCTATTTTACAATGCCCGGCAGTATTACGCGCACCAAACCAAAACCACAACTGGCACCAAAACACGTACAGCTAAAAGCCAAAACCTATTTTAATTTGCATCCAAGGACACAGAAACAAATGTGTTTTTGGAAATAGATGATTTAATGAACAGTTCGGGATATTTGAGACTATAGTTTTACACTGAGAGCTCTCAAAGATCTTAGCGAACTGGTTAAGTTTGATCTATTTTGATTGTTTTTATGTTATTTTATTTCATTTTATTTTAAAACTTGGGTACAAAGATTATGGTTGCTAGTTTCATGACTTTTAAAGCATTTACATCAAGGATACAAAATCAAAACTTTGGTGGACGAAGGTCCAGGTCACAAACGTCAACAAGAAAACAAACAGGCTTTGAAAAAGTCCAATACACTTTGGGATTTGAAGGTTTGTTGCCTGTGGTGAGTTTTACCGTTCCATCAGAAATAAGTTTATGGAAAACTGCTGGTATATAAATTCAGGCACATAAATTCAGAAATGACTACTTTTCGAAGCACAGAAATGCACAAGAGAACGGGCTGTATCAGAATATAACATATTTCCCCAAATATCACCTTTCATTTAGCTGATCTGATGTGATCTGTATTTTCTACTAAAACTGGCTGACAGTGTAAGTATTTATTACTATACAAACATCTTTATCTGCATATTTATGTTTTTAAACATTAAAATGTTGCTTTAGATAAAAGCAGTTTAAATTTTTCTACAGTTTTTAAAGCTTGTGTTTTGCATTGACTCAGTCAGAACTTATGTTAAAGCATGTTGCTACACTAGTGCTTCTCAAATGGTGGGGGTGTTAGGGGTGGTGTCAGTGAGTTCTTGGCCTTGAAGAAGGGGCACCACAGAAATCAGTTCATATATAAAAATAGATTTTAAATTAAATTTTAAATTAATGCAGCAAAATAAACTTATTTAAAACAGTAAAATGTAATAATACTTTTACACAATGCAGTGTTTCCCCCACCATTATCAGATAATTATATGCAGAATACTGGTTGCATAAAAGACATACAGTGGTTTGCACAGCTACAACATTAAATATTATCAAGTTCTCAATAATATAACAATTCAGGGAGGGCATGGAAACTTTAAGTTTCCTAGTGGGCGTGACAGAAAATAATTGAGAACCACTGATCTACACTAAGAGCTAATGTTTCCTGAAACAGACAGAGATATGCAAAAGCCAGAAAAAGAGAAACAGATTATTTTTTTATACAGATAGAAAAAGATCATTTTCTTAAGTTTCTTTACTTGTCCTTAATTTGTCAACATAACTCTGAATAAAAGTCAGCAATACACACCTGTGTAAAGTTACATACATGTAGCCCTCCTTATCAACACAAGGCAGTGAAGTTAGGAGAATAAGAGAGACGTAATATATGACCTGATCTGCAGCAGTGTCAAACCTGGTTACAGTAAAAAAAACTGAGATACTTGAAAGAAATGGATTTCTGCTCGAGGCTGTGCAGACACAGCTCTGTGGTCTGCACTCTGCACAGTGGGAGTTACCCACTGCTGCACTCAAGTCTTCAGAGTCACAACGGAGCGTTGTGCAGGAGCTGCACTTTTCAAATGTAGCTAACATCACTTGACATTTATGAAAGCCATAAAAAATGTGACTTATACACTGCAGCGTTTCTCCTAAGTTTCTGAGCTTGGGTGGGTAAGTCAAAGCAGGGCAGGGGGTGTCAACAAAACAAAGGATTTGAGTTTGTTTTGCTTTTAAATATCAGCAACAAACTTACAATTTTTAATACTGACACAAATTATTAAAATAATTCAATAAATTTCTGTGAGATTATCATAAGAACATTTCCAAATTTTCTTGGTATGAAAAAATATTTGTTTAGCATACGTATGAATTGAGGTATCGCCCAACACATTTCTTCATATTTATTTAACTATATAAGAAAAATGTTCAATGCATGAAGTTAACTTCTCTCTTGTATTTTCAATTAAAAAGACAAGTATCAATAAAACCATTTACCTTTACAAAAAAAAAAAGACATTTTATATCTATACTTGAATAATTGTTTATGTAGAAGTGTTTGTTATCTAGCTGTTAAATGGCGGTCAACCCCCACCCCTCGTTTTGCTGAAGTGGTTTAGTCCTGGATCTGAACAGCCAATGAGAAGAGATGTGACAAAGTTAGCAGGAAGCGCAGGTGACCAAAATAGCAGAATAGGAGTGTTAAACACTCTATCATTAACTCATTTTGTACATGTCTTGTGTTCATGTTGTTAATGCAATATTTGTACAGTGACACAAACAACACGTCCAATGCCCTGTTCAGTTTTCCAACGCCTGCTTTCAGTTTGGCAACACCTGATTTAAAAACTGCAACAAAGCCCAGCAATTAAACAAGCATAATAAAGCAGACAACGGTCATAAAAGTGCGGTAGAAACATCAGTATATCACTGACCACAAATCTTCAGGGGCGCCTCAAGCTCCAGCAGGATGGGCTGGCTGAGGAAGATCTCCCTGGATTTGATGCAGAGGCCCCGGACCTCTGCCTCTGTCATCTGAACTATCTTCCCTGGACGACATCCTCGCACTGAAGGGAGAAAGCAAAACAAAACAAATAGTCAAAGCTGTTGATTGAGAGGCAAACTCTTGCATCCTTAAATTAATCAGACTGAACCTACAGAGTTTTGTTTTGTTTTTTTTCATCTAAGAAAAATGTACTTCTAGCAGAACCACAAAGCCATTTTCCAAGCAGATAACTGTGGGTGTAATCATTCTGCACCTTAGAACTGCTTAGTCTCAGTCAGACTTCAGAACCCCACTGCTGCTTCGGCTCTGAGAGGACTCTGCTGTGTGGCTTTATTGGCTTCACAGTTGCAATGTTAGCTTAAACTTGATTTATGAAACTCTGCCACAGCTCAGGCTTATCTTAGGAAAAGAAAAGTGGGAAATGCAAACATTGGCTAAAGTCAGCAACTAAAAATGAAGGAGATGTGAAAAGTAAGATTATACATTAAACCGGCTTCTTTCACATTTTGGTTGTATGGCAGAATATACTTTCAAAACACTTTAAAACGCTCTGCATCTGTTAAGCCTTTTTTTTCTCAGTATGACAGCAAAAAAAGTTATTATAAATTGCTAACTAAAGGTGTAATGCAAACAAACAATATGTGAAATAAAACCTAGAGAACATTTATTTAGCTCTTAATTCAAATCCTAAATGTCACATAAGTAGAAACGGTCTGTTTTGGGAACTTTTGAGCAAATCTACTAATAAAAAATTATGTAATAAGTGACCATTTTTGTAATGCCTACAGCAAGACGCCCACTGAAAACTCAGATAAAGGGTGGCTGTTTCGCCTTGTGGAGCAAATGGATCTTCTGTCAGAAAGTGGTTTATTTAAATCCCTTTTCTACTGCTTGTTTTTTTTTTTTTGTGGTGGGTGGGTGTGGGGTGTTTAGGATAACTATTTCTAAAAGAGCCAAACAAGAAGCAGATCAAATGAATAATGTGATGAATGTATTAGAAAGCCAGAAAGGCTTAGTAAATGTTTTTGTGCATCTGTAACTCCACACCCACGTGTTTTCACAGCTGATTTAAACACTGTTTACACTCTGATTAGTCCTGTAATCAGGGCTGTGACAAGGAGTTCAGTGAAACAGCAAAATATAAAATCTGTATGTGTGATGAACCTGACAGCTCCAAACATTTGCTCCTCCACCATCCATTCCCAGTACTTAACACTAATTTTTCATCTAATTTATATCTAAACGCTGAAGCATGAAGCGTGACACTGCTCTTTAGCAAACCTCGCTGGTGCAGGGTGAGTTAAGCTGGGCTGGAGCTGCTTAGCTCCAACACTGAACCTTTTATTGGTTGCACTCACTGGCACGATGCTACAGGCTGGAACTTTTAAATGAGATTAGGTTCTGGGCAATGAAACAGGGCAACGACAAGGATTTGTGACTACCACAAACTAAATCATTGTTTGTGTAAATCCATGTAACTGTATGAGTGAAGCAACACTCAATCCATTCAGTTTTAATTGCATTAAGTACTGTGACTGACACAAGCTTTTACCCAAAGATCCAATGTCCTCAGACAGAAAAACAACAACAAAAATAGTCTTTATTATGTGACCTCATAAGATATTGGGCCTCATGCAAGAACATGTTCGTATTCTTATCCTAAATTTCTCTTCCTTTTGTTCGTACAAAGGGTTCGTACGAACATGTCATGTCAGATTCAACAAACTCTTCTATCTTCAGGAAAAGTGTGTAAATGAGCTGCGTAAATTCACCTGTTCGTATCCAGCTGCTCGTGCACGCGAGAGGAGATTAGCATAATTACCACCCCCCAAAAAAACCCATATAAGGCTATGTTTCCTGCCCCACGTACCAGGAAGTGTCCATTCATAAATAACTTCGCAAAGTAAAACAAAGAACTTTACGAGTTCAGAGATTGTAGTCCTGCTCTCCGAGATCGAGAAAAGAAAATCTGTTCTCTTTAGCAG